GGAGAGAGAGAGAAAGAGAGAGAGTTAGAGAGAGAGGGGGAGCGAGGTAGGTCGTAAAGGCTTGTACCCGCACGCATAGTGAGAGATATACGAGGCCATGACGACAGATATATGCGGGTTTAATGGAGTGAGAACAAGAACGCGATATAGGCAGAGATACGCACGACAGATAGAGCGCCCAGACGCACACAGGCATATAAATAATGTATATATATGTATTATGTATATTGTTATATATATCGAGAGAGAGCGAGAGAAAGAGAGATGGATGAATAGATAGATAGATAGATAGATGGATGGATGGATGGATGGATGAATGGATGGATGGATGGATGGATGGATGGATGGATGGATGGATGGATGGATGGATGGATGAATAAATGGATGGTTGGCTGGATGGATGAATGGATGGAAGGGTGGATGGATGGATGGATGGATGGATGGATGGTTGGATGGAGGGATGGATGGATGGATGGTTGGATGGAGGGATGGATGGATGAATGGATGGATGGATGGATGGGTGGGTGGGTCGTTGGGTGGATTGATGGATGGATGGATGGATGGATGGATGGATGGATGGATGGATGGATGGATGGATGTATGGATGTATGGACAGGTGGGTGGGTCAGATAGGTGGATGGTTTGAATGTGTAAGTGGACCGGACATAGCGATAGATGGGTAGGTGGGTTGGTTGGATAAATGCATACCTGCAGTTGTACCTGCCTACATACCTGCATGCTGCGATTGTGCACGGCCGTCAAACGTTTATACTCACCAAGACACCCATACTGCTCATTGGGCTAGATTCCTGTGGCATCCGACTCAGCCCGGCCACGTTGGTAGCGACAACGTGCCTGCACGCATGCACGCATAAACGAACGAACGCGCCCGCCGAGGTAATCGAGCTTGTCACACTACTGCTGCTCAGCAGCCGACGGTCACTACCCGCGACGACGCATAACACAGGGGAGATAAAGCCAACGCACTGTGACGGCACTCGGACTGCGTTTTTCCCGAGAACACACTACGGAACGCTTCTTGCGCGCGCTCGCCAGTCCGTCCATTGGCTGCGTTTTAAACAGTATCGATCACATGACTGGCGTAGTAGCCCGCAAGTGGAGAAACCATTTCGTGCGCGGGGGTGCTGCGCGCCTGCATGCGGCGATGGCGCGCGCGCCTTGAGGGATCACACGCTCATATTGGATTACCCGGTGATGACGTCAACGCGTGATTAGTGGCGCTCGCGCTGACGTAGGCATGGGTCACGGACCGGCGGCGGCGCGCGCGAGCGCATCCTGACCCAACGCTCGAAATTTGTCGGCGTGAAAGCAGAGCAGCAGTGGCAGGGAAACTGGAACCATGTGCCGGTCCTCCGGCTTCAGCCAGCTGCCGCTGCTGCTGCACTGCTCGCGGTCACCGCTATCTTTGCTCTCTAACGGTGGCAACGTCTTGTGTGACGACCACCGCAGTGGTTCCCGCTCGTGATCACCTCGGCGCTCAAATCTGCGGTGACATCATCGCTGTAAGGCTGACGTCGCCGACTCGACCTTGTTGGCGCGCAAATGATCTAATGAGCAATGTGTGTCCCCCGGAAGACGCGCTGGTATAGCTTATAATCTAATCGTACTTGTAATCCGCTGCGCATCATACATTAGACTTGCACACCGAAGTTTCTTGTAAATTGTTGTTGACTGTGATCGCGATGGCGGTCAAGTTCATATTTCCCTATCGAAGTCAGCAGCGTTTACAGCACCAGGTGAAGCCACACAACAGCTCTGCTTCTACCAAGTTGTCAACTCCGATTGAGTCAAAACGCAATGGCTAGATAAAAAATCTGATTTTTATAATATATTAATTAACATGAGCCATGTCATAGTTACTCGGGGGCCTCAACGCGATTCATTTGAGAGATTCGATGCAGAACTATTGTAGAGTTGTGCGCATAGTTATAATTTATACATTATTTATTACTGTAAAGCTTATTGTTTAATCGAGGTCCCATCTCATTCCTGGATGAATCATGTAATACAAAAAACATTTTCATATCACATGAGTACCATTTCGCAGACGGCCAGCCGTAAACGACCCGGTGATCATAATTCGCATGGTGTGTAAAACTGACTTTCTAATGATCGAATAGGTATATATGCGAGCGACGTCTCGCGTCACATGGACTGTTTCACCAGTTTGTTATGAAACGTGTGACTAACATGGCGCTGAGGTCAGTTTGACGACTCCTCCACCGCTCTCAACTACAGAACGTACATTGACACTCTCAACTGGCTTCATTCTCCAGTCAACTGATCAGCACACGTACCCCAGACGAGGATGGACCCCACTATGTATAGTTGCAAAAAGCATACATCGCCAGTGCTCGTATTATCACTTGTATATGTCACCGAAAATTGTAAGACGAAATCGGCACTGACCAGTGGTCGCACTGAAAGTGCACTAGTGCTGGCCTCACACGTCGTCACGGTGAATAGCCCGCGGTCAATCGTGTCCAGTACTTAAGGCTTCACAGCGGCCTCAGCCGACTGTTTGACTTCCGATTACTGACACCGCCGTGCGCCGAACCCGCCATGCTTACACTCTCCCGCTACAGCAATATCAACATTGACCGGCGTTGCTGAGTGAAAAGCAAATAACCCCGAGATTGGCCTAAGCCCCCGACTGAGCCCGCAGTGCAGAAGCCGCAGGCTGTAAGCTTGCCGCTCATGCCGATCACGTGATGTAGGTCGTGAAGCCGGTATATCCGTTCACGCATGCTATAAACCACACAGGCGCGCACACACGCACGCACACACATACTCTCTCTCACACACACACGCGCGCACACACACACAAATATATATATACACGCGCACACGCACACGCACACGCGCACGCACACGCGTACACACACACACGCACGCACACAAACACACACACACACACACACACACACACACACACACACACACACACACACACACACACACACACACACACACACACACACACACTAC